CTTTTCCTTTCTCATAAGTCATATTTTTCAGCTACTCGGACTGCATTGGAGTACTGATCATGGAGATCTGAAAGTGTACTTGTACGCACCATTCTGGCTGGTTAACAACACTTCGATGACGCTCAACACATGGTGGGCCTAGCGCTGCTAGTTTTTTCTCTTAATCTCACTGAACTTACCGTATCCATTTCTTGCTAACCGTGGGACCATCAGTCACACACAAGCTACCATTTTGTGAACATTCTAGGAATGTGGTGGGAACTTCCTGAATAACACGTCACACTGTGTGCCCTGCAAAAAGGCCCGGCCTTCACAACAGGTGAACAAATGTAGTGCGGTCACTACTCATATCGGATTACTGATTAAATACTGCTCAGTAATTGGAGTGGTTTTGTGTGTGTTATACTCAAAAACGATCGCAGTAACATTGCTTCGCTGTGCAGGAGTCGGGGCCTTCTGCTCACTGGGCGCTTCGAATCAAATTTGAACTGGAGTTCGTGTCTCACAGATGGTCGTTCCCGAATTTGCCTGGCTATAACGCGTGCGGTCGCGGCGCGGTTTGATTCCATAATTCCATGGTAGATCACCACGTATTGCTTAATGAAGCATTTCTCGTTGTAATCTCATGCGTTATAGACTGATCGCTTCAGGTAACAATTATCTGAAAGACATGGACTAGAATGTTTTAATTTTTATTATATTTCTAGCGCCCATCATTTGTTGATCCCGACCCCGATCGAGAGTTGAGTTGATGATACTGTGGTAAAGATCGTGCATGCGTACAAGCTTTTTTTGCATAATTCTTGCTTGATGTCTGGTTTTTGGGTTACTTTTCTGTCAATTTCTTTTAGTAGAGGCTGTTGGAAAAATGCTTAGTAGACATGTAGTAGTACTTCAATGTGTAGAGATAATTGACTTACTGTTGCATGAAGTTTCAAGTTTCAGTACTATCTTTCTTGTTTTAGGAATCTGAGTATGCTGTGAAGCATCTTGCTGAGGAAAATCCACTGATCCTTCCATTCCCTACGACCGATTTCACCAAGAAGAAGAAGGTATGTGCCATAGAATTTTCATCGAAAGTGGCGCCAGCGCTTAGACAGGGGATTTCTTTGGTCATGATTTTTTGCCTTTTTA